GGTGGGGTCGGGGGAGGACAGGACAGTAGAGAGGAACCACCATGGCACAGCTGGTTCAGGGCTTGGCCGAGCCGGGCTGCCAGCCACTGCGCCCGGCAGCCTTGCCTCATGCATTCTTCAGGCTCTCCTGGCCTTCCTTGCGGCTCCCCCTTCTGCCCGCTATCTTCCCGGCATTGTAGTCAGCCACTGGCTCAGGGGAGGCCCTGAGCGTGTGTGGAAGCTCTCGGTGGTAAAAATGCAAAATTGCCTCCTGGGTGCATTCTTCCCACAGACTGGAAAGGTGCAAATTGACTCCCTAGACCTGAGAGCCGAAGACAAACACAAGCCTGTGCTGCCCTCTGCTGGCAATCAGCTCATGGCGTCCCAGAACTCAAGCAGAGGGAAGACACGAAGCAAGGCCTGACCCAGAATGCAGGGGCGGGGGCTGGGAGGGGGGCGGTGGACCAGCCAGCAGTCCTGAAGGGGCTGCCTAGAACTCCCCCTCAGGTCCCCATGCAGGTTCTTTGCCAGTTCCTCCCCTGATCAGGGCCTTAGCGTTTCTCACTGGCTGACCCCTCCTCTCTGTGGGTGCAGGCTAGAATTATTAACAGCAAGCCATTTCCAGATGACCAGGACTGGGGCCTGCGGAGATTTGAGGGCCAAGTTTTGTATTGTTTGCCAAACTGGTCATTACCTACCCAAATGACCTTTGTCATCAGTAGCTCAAACGGACTGGCATACTGAGCTCGTCCCTTTAACGGGGAGGCCAGAAGCCCTCACAGCTCAGTTGGGATGTTTTTTCTTCCCCGCCTTTCTCAGCATTGTGGTTGCCCAAAGCCACCCAGCTGGTATGGAGAAGAGCTGTGTGCGTGAGGGGAGAATCCCCAATAATGGTGACATCTAGTGAGAGGAGACTGGATCCATGGCTTTGGGCCGAGAAACTTTTTTATGCAAACCAAAGCTAACTTGGAAGGGGAGTATGTAAACATAAAAGCAGAGTTATTCTACATGAAACAAAGGTGGGGAGCCCCACTCCCACCCTTTCAGAGAGGAGCTACTCCAAACAGATCGAAAGCCACAGGACTCGGGTATGAGGTCAACTGTCAGAACAGGAAATTGGAACAGGAGACAAAGCCACTTGCTGAGGAACAGGTCAGATGATAATGTCCGCACCTGAGTCTGGCAGCACAGGGGACAGAGATCCGTAGAATATGTTATAAAAGTGATCGGTCTTAGGAGAAGACACGAAAACTTTATAATCTGCTAATGACCATTCTATACAAAGTTGAGAGTGGAAAAATTCTCAAAAAAAAAAGCCGTGTCTTGTTATAGTGGTACATTACGACTCGCATATATCAGAATACAGAGCAAGTGTTAAGATGGAAAACAATGTCAAACCCCCACAGCTTATTTCTTTCCAATATAATCAGAATGAAAAATATTTAAAAAGAAAAAAAAATTCTTATGAAAATTCTTAAAAAAAATACTTTTAACACTTGTCCCTGTCAGAACTCTGTTGCGTATAATATAGCAACATCACTAATTTTAGGTCAACTCCTTTGGAGTGTTTTAGAATGTGACCCGTGACTTTCACACTTAAGAGATGGTAAATTACTCTCTCCTTTAAGAATAATGCTTCAATACTTAAAAAATATTTTTCATATACTTAGAATGAAATATTAAGCTACACTGTTAACGTGCTTACACCATCAAAAAATCACTGTTGGCTCTTTTTCTGCCGTGTTGGAAAAACAGCAAGACGAAGTTATCAAATTCAAGATGCCATTCCTTCTGTTTTCAGAGTAAGATGGTTTCTCGCAAACTTCAGATGAAGATTTATCTTTCTTAGAATATTTACTACTCCAACAAATATGAGCATTTACTGTTATGGCACTTTTGTGTTGGTTTAGCACGTATTATTCAACAATGATTGTGCATCTTGTCATTATTGGATAGTAAGCAGCAGCACTGTGGAAAAAATACCGGGCCGTGTTCTAGGTTGGAGACATCCCACCTCTGCCATTTGCCACTTGGGCTACCCAGGGTGAATAAACACTTTGGGTTAGCTTCACAATTAGTTTCTTCGCACCTGAATTGCAAGGCTGTCAAGAGGTAAATGAGACCCCCCCCCCCCCGTGTGTAAAACATTTATATCATGTAGAAAGCGACACGCCCCACTGCAAAGGCTTACTCGCTTTTCTTCTTTTGCATCGATATTTACACCTTAAGCTTGGATAATATTGATGAACTATTCACTCTACTAAAATAGTAGATGCAAGCTGCCTTTTATCAAGTGAGTTTGGGTGGAATAGTGAATAGGAAGGGAAAGATAGTTTGCCCAGAAAGGTGGAAGTTTCTTGCAATATGAGCAAATTCATCCAAAATTATTTTTGAATATGCGATTATTTTTAAAAATTACTTGCAAACGTTCATTTCCAGCCATGATGGAACGATAGACCTGGATTTACTCTTGCACCTTAAAAAACTAGAAAGCCAGATAAAATATGGGAAACAATCGTTTTTAGCTATTGGACAAGGAGCACAGGACAGCGGTCCCTGAGGACAAGAAACAATGAGATATGCGCTTGGCTCTCAGTATTCAGGCTACAGCAGAGGAAGGTTTTGGGAATCCCAAGTATTTTCTTGCCAGTTGTACTGCGGTGATGTAGGAGAATTTCCTGTTTTAAGGCAGAATATACTTAAGTATTTATTTAGAGGAAAAAGAGTAACTTACTTTTGAATAGCTCAGGAAAAATGTCACATATATATGTGTAAATATACATATATATACATACACGCATGTGTATATATACAAAAATACACATACATCTATGAGACAAAATGATAAACATGGAAAAACATTAACATTTAGGGAATCAAGGTGAAGAGAATATGGGAATCTTTGTATTAGTTTTGCAACTTTCCTCTAAGTTTGGAAATGCTTCAAAATTTAAAAAAATATTCAAAGCCTAGTGCTAGCAACTTTTATGTAGAAAGACTCCGCCGACCATCTCTCCAGCTCAAAATGCTGTTCGACTAAACTCAAAACATGATGCAAAAAACTGGGAATTACTTTTTATTTTGTAAAAGGTCGAATAAAAAGCACCTATGTACATATTACTTGACATCAAAAAATATATGCCCTGTGCATTTTTAAACTTAACATTTCATTTATAAAAAATCAAAAATGGGTTCTAAAAACAAATTTATTAAAGCTTACTATACAATGTATATGTCTATATTTGATCCTATAATAGTTGTTCCCTGTATAAAAACTGGAAAATACAGGTAAGAAACTCGAATAATCTCACCAGTGAGAAACACTGCTACTCTTTTTTTCTGTGTAGATATGATGTACTTTGTGAACACGAACAACTGATGACATTAAATTTCATGCTTTCTAAAAAGTGACTTTGGAGTGAACGGAATGCAATTCAATTTATATGAGAAGTAAATTAATATTACGTTGCCAATACTTGTAGAGTGCTCTGCAGGATGTTCCTCAATAACGAAGAACACACCCCGTGCTGCGGATGACTGGCAAGGTTTGACAATGCCAGGTTTGAAGAATATTTTCCAAAATGCCAGCGCTTGTTAGGAATTCCCGTCTTTAGTACTGCCGGCCCTACAAAGTGTTATTAGTCTCTGATGTTATATCATCATCCCATTTTTCAGGCAAGAAACTGAAACACAGACAAGTTAAATAACATACTTCAAGTCACACTGTGATGAAGTAGTGAAACCTGGAATAGACTCAGACTTCTCCTTAGGAAAGACAAACTTTGTGTCGGATGCTGAAATATTTTTAATGCTGTCAAACTGGAAAAAAAAATTTACATACATTTATGTAAACATTCTCATGTTCTGCGTAATTTTTCTTTGCTAATATTTTGTCATTATGAGAAATGTCCTATAAATCAAGGGCGAGTATTAAAAATGTGTTTTTGTTAGGTCTGGATAACACAGTGTCAAACTAGATAAACAGGTTGAAATGCACAAAAGGAATGTGTAAATTCTGAGTATTTGGCATCAGTTGACAGTTAAAAGCAATGACAGTATGTAAATACCAGAGAAAGTTCAAATAACAGGAAACAACAAAATTTATCAGGCCTTTTGTTAAAACATACCTTAAAAGCATAAAAAAAAAATCAGATTTCATCCTGATTTAAACTTGCACTAATCTCTCAATACATCAATTATCCAACCTGTGGCCAACTGATTGAGTTTCTTGAGTTTGATGAGGCAAAAAATTGTGATCAGTGAAGAGACCACCTCGTTGTTACTTCATGTGCCAGCCAGAGACTTGAAAAGTAATAAACATTGGAAAAAGAGGAAAAAGGAGAGGTCTAAATGCACCTTTTCTGAGTCGGTATTTTCTAGACTTTCCTAAGTATGCTGCCTCCCTATTTATTTGACCTATTCACCTCTGCACGATGGTTTATATTCAAATGATCTCACATATTGAGATTTGATTTTTATTATAAAACACATAATGTAAAATTGCTACTTTGTAATTTTTACTTTCCAGAGAATACTCCCTCCCCCAGAATCAAATATTAGCTTTGGATTTGAGCGAGCCTTTATTATCCTAATCAATTCCTCATCGCATAATTGGTATCGAAAGCTTCCTTTTCCTGAATTCCATAGATGTATAGAAATCTTATGCTAATATTACAAAGCAATTGGTCTAAGAGATTCAAGTAAAATAAAAGCATGGCTGATAGAAAAGACAAGAACTGTACTATCCTTTTAGTTATTTAAAAACTATAAATATAATACATGCTTAGTTAAAAAATTCAAATATACAGAACGGTATACAGTGAAAGGTGCAGTCCCTTTACCCCACTTTCTAGCTCCATTTTCTACAGCTGCAGTCAGCTATGGAAGCCACTAGCTATATGTGGTACTTAAAACCAAAATTAAAAAGTGCAGTGCCTCACACTAGCTGTATTTCAGCTGCTCACTTACCACATGGCGTTAGAGGCTATCGTTCTGCAGAGTGTAGACATAGAATGTTTCCGTCACAACAGAAAGTCCAGTGGACAGACAGTTCCTTGGTTACTGATCTACGGTCACTATAATTGAGCATTAGCATATATACATCTTATTACTCAGTTATGAGTTCTTTATCTATTATGGATACCAGTCCCTTACTAGGTATGATTTTTGGAAATTTTCTCCCATTTTGCGGGTTGTCTTTTCGCTTTCTTGCTGGTATCCTCTCAAGCACAAAAGCTAATTTTGAAGAAGTCCAATTATTTTTTTTCCTCTTTTGCTTGTTCTCTTAGTGTTGCTTCTAAGAAACCATTGCTCAGCCCAAGGTCATAAGATTTACTTTTGTTTTCTTGTAAGAGTTTTATAGTTTTAGCTCTTTTATTTAGGTGTGTGATCCCTTTTGAATTAAAATTTATATGTGGTATAAGGTAGGGCCCTTTTAGCACATAACTATCCAGTTGTTCTAGGACTACCTGTTGAAAAGATTACTCTCTCCAATGTATAGTGTTGGTATCCTTGTCAAAAAAATTAATCGTAAATGTATAGGTTTATTTCTGAACTCTATTTTATATTCCCTTGATCTATATGTCTATCTTTATGCCAGTACCACACTCTCCTGATTACTGTAGCTTTGCAGTAAGTGTTGAAATTGGTTTGAGTCTTTCAACTTTGTGTTCTTTTTCAACATTGTCTTGGCTGTTGTGGGTCTCTTCATTTTTGTATAAATTTTATCAGCTTGTTAATTTCTGCGAAAAAGCCAGCTCTGATTTTGACGAGAATTGCATTGAATCTGTAGACAAATTTGGGGGAACACTGCCGTCTTAAATAATGTTAAGTTTTCTAACCTATGAACAAAGGTGTCTGTCCATTTATTTAGGTCTTCTTTGATTTCTTTCAAATGTTTTGTAGTTTTATTGATCTTGATGCTACTGTCAATACAATTTTTAAAAACCTCAATTTCAGAATGTTCATATAAACGAAACTGATTTTTGCATATTGATCTTGTATCTAGCCTGTAACCTGTTGAACTTGTTTGTTTTTAAATGAATTCCTTAGGATTTTCTATATAACAAGACCTGTCACCTAGGAAGAGTTTTACTTGCTTTTTTCCAGTACGCTTGCCTTTTCTTTCTCTTAATTGTCATGCTAGAACCTCAAGTACAATGTTGAATAGAAGTGGTGAGTGTGAACATCCTTGTCTTGCTCCTGATCTTAGCAGGAAAGAATTAAGCATTCAGACTGTGATGAAGTAGGATGTTAGGGTGGGTTTTTTGTAGACACCCTTTATCATGTTGAGGAAATGCCCTTTTATTCTGTTTGTTTTTTTTTTATCATGAAAAGATGCTATATTTTATCAAATGCATTTTCTACATCTATTTAGACAGTCACGTGGTAATTTTATCCTTTATGAACATGGTACAGTTGATCCTTATTCGTGATTCCGAATTTGTGACTTTACCAATTTATTTGCACTCCTAAAATCAATGCTCGGAGCACTTTTACGGTCATTCACAGACATTTGCAGACTGGTGAAGATTTTGAGTTTCCCGACGTGCACATTCTCAGATGAGGCTGAACAAGGCAATGCTCTGACTTCTTGTTTCCACTCACCTACAGAAATGACCAGAGGACGGAGAAGGCAGGGGACAGGGCAGTGTAGTGCAAGAAGCTCTGGCTTTGGGGCCAGCTGGACAAGTCTGACTCCCAACTCTGGCACCTGTTAGTGGTGTGGCCTCAGGCAAGTCACTTAATACTTCTGAACCATATTTTTCTCTTTTGTAAAATAAACAGAATATACCAGAGGTAAATTGTTTTTAGGATTTAAGATTATAATCTATTTGATGTGTATACACACACACACACACACACACACACACACACATACACACACTCTTCCTCTAGGAGTTATGGCTCTATATTCACCAATTCGTATTACTGGTGACTATACAGATAATAACTGTGTATAATATTTGTGTATTACATTGATTTTTGGATGTTAAACCAACCTTGCATTCACTTGGTCATGGTGTATAATTCTTTTTTTATGTTGCTAGATTCAGTTTGCTGGTGTTCTGTTGATGATTTTTCTATCTATATTCATAATAGATATTGGTTTGTAGTTTTCTTGTGGTCTTTGTCTGGTTTTGTATCAGGGTAATATTGGCCTTACAAGGTGAGTTGGAAAGTGTTCTTTCCTCTTCTATTTTTAGGGAGAGTTTGTACAGAATCGATGTTAATTCTTTAAATGTTTGGTGTAATATAACAGTGAAGCTGTCTGGGCTTGCGGTTTTCTGTGTGGGATGTTTTCGAACTATGAATTCAATTTTTTTTTTCTTTGTTATTGACAGTTGCCTTTTTAACTTGCTTTTGGGTAGGACCTAGATGATAAGACTGTCTCCTAAAGCCAGTAAGATATGTGTTATCAAGGAAGACATGCCCAATGTTTCCAAGATTCAAATGGGCAGCTACCAAGATGATCCAGCAGCAACATTATCCTGCTCTCTAGCTTCAACACAGATGGACACTGTCACCTCTCATGTGCTTTCACGACCTTAGAAAAAGAAACTTCAGCTTGCTCTACATAAGATTTATACACACACTTCTTAATTGACATTTTTATCAAAGTTCTATAACTACAAACTAGTTTGTACATTTCTAGATTATATACAGATATGCATATTTACATATCTATCTTTAAATCTGTCTAAGAAAATACTACCTGTTTCAGACTCTGTCAGGAATGTGGCGTGTAGTGGAGTAAACGTTGGAATGGAAATCTGAAGGCATCAGGGCCGGTCTAACTTAAACAAGATACCTCGATCCGTTTCTTCTGCTGATACAATTACGTTGGCCCGATGATCGCCAAGGATCTTTTTCTGATTCTAAAATTACAATGACTTATTCTACAATAATGCCATTCCCACTGTTCTTAGTTCGGAATGGTCAAAATGAAAATATTTTTTGTTATATACAAATAAACATATACACATCCATGTGTTACTTCTACAGAACAAATCAGTTCGCAAAATCTTAAAGGAGAAAGAAGAGGAATTCTGTGGTTAAATAACATAATTCCAAAATCTCAAAGTCCTGAGCTTGCCACGAAATAGCTGGTACCAATTTTCTCTCTCTAAATACACATAGTTCCTCTTTCATGATATCTCACTTTACATAAGTACTGTTGTTTATGAGGCATCTAGTCATTACGATAACTTTCAAAAAACAAGGAGGTCACTTTTCAGAAATTCTGAGCCCGTCGGAGAAGCTGAATGGAAGTTCCTCAGTCGTCTCGACTGGCACGTTACTTCTACCAAACTGACACGAATAGTGGTGAGCACGATGGCTCGAAAGGAGCGCGTCCGCAGTCCGGCTGCAGCGACAGCTGTCTGGTGGCATAACGTTACTTGCACTGCCAAGATGTGAATGGTAAACGCCCAGGAATGAGTCTTGAGATGAATGATAATGCCCAGCTCCTGCTGCGGTGGAAGCTGAGCTCTGGTAAGGGCCGTTGCACATGAGACAAGTCTGAAAGCAAGTCTTCCTTCCCAGACCTCGATGAATGTCTAGTTTAGCGATGAGGGGTTTCCCGACATTCACTTCCTGCTTCTCCTCTATGGTATCCTCCAATCCTGAGTACTGGTACGACAAACACACCGTGAAGACCAGGTGTTCCTGAAAAGGACAAGAAGGCTTTGTCATTAGCATCTGAGTCTTAAAATACCACTCAGGTACAGGGAAAATAAATAAAGAAATAACAGCAATGAAATTCCGCTCTTATTCCCCTTTCCCAGGTTCCAAATCCTCAAGGCATCCTTTACGCTTTCCCTATGCTCAGAAAGGTTGGCTAGATCGACTTCCTTCTCCCTCATTCAATACTGTGAATCAGTATAATTCTAGTTCTCATTACTTAAAGTAGTCACAATTACAGAGATCTCATATTGCATTCCTGACGAACAGTGAAAAGGAATTTTCCAAGCAGTGGGGCTGGGGAAGCACACCCTTCCCTATCACTGAAGCTGGGGAAAGAGCCTTTAGTGAAACAGTAATCTGGCTTTACACCTAGCTCAAAAGATTAGCTGTTTTAAAAATATTATGAAATAATAATCCACAATCAAAGGTGGAGAAGTGTAACTGACTCAGAGAACGGGCTGTATTTCAAAGATAAAAGACTGTAAGTAGATTGGCCACGAACAAGGTGACGACAGGTCCATGTCTAACTGTCAGTAGTGCCCATGTCATTCCTCGAGTTTTGGCTAATATATTCTATGGTCATGCAGCTATAAATAAATTAAAAACTCAGATTTGGCAAGATTATGTTTTTATTAGGAAGTTCAACCATATAGAGGTAGCTTCGGATTTGTTAAGTCAATGAGAAATGAAAAAAGAAAAAAATAAATTCCGATTCTAATTTGCTATTTGTTCTGTAGAGAGTCACAGGACTAGGAAATGATTATTTGAAAATGCTAAGATATTTAAAAGCAGACTACGCTCCACGTCTCTGACTTTTCAACAGCATGGAGGGCGATCACAAATACCCTCACGCAAAAACGCATCATCAGAAACATAATATAATATGAAAAGAGTCTCTGCTAAGACTCCCTGTAGGTCATTTATCTGTACTTCAATTTCATACTCAATGAAGCAGCACGTAATACAAGGTTCACACGACGAAATGAGTTTTTGCTTTCATAAAGTTTTCCATTAGTATGAATAGGAAATGAATAGGAAAGGTAATGACCTTTAATTTTTGCAGCGAACTGAGTCTGGTATAGAGGCAATGCTTGGGAAGGTCCTTTGATACTAAATAGCTGCCGGTCTCTTCAGGCGTCCCTTTATTTGCATCTTTTGGATCAATATCTAGGTCCTGTGAAAATCAATAAAAGTTATTAATGAAATCAGTGAAAGTCACAACAATGCCTATGACAATAAAACCATCTTTAACAGGTCTTGCTTGCTCATAAATTCTGGCCTGAATAGGCAATCGTTTACCCAGGACTAAAGAAACAATGAAAACAACATTGCAAAGTAATAACAGGAATTTTAAACGCTCTGCCGATACATTTAAAGAGTTAGCTCTGATAGGATAGTTACTTTCGAACTATCCCTACAAACGCTTCTTAACCTCGAGATTCCTTTTAAGTTGGAGCCTCATTAGTGTTTGACTCCTGGATTCTCTCCTTCCTCATTCATCATTTTTAGGACGGTGCAGAGGGACTTATATGATTCGGATATCTAAGAAGAGGACGTGCCAAAGGCAGCCCTTCCCTTTTTCTTCTTTTAGAGCCAAGCGCTGGCCAAGAGTAGCAGGTCTGCTCTGCTCCTCCAGAGAGAAGTCCTCAGGCTCTGCCCTGCCCAACGTCCAGGGAGGCCTGTGCTCGTCCAGTGTTGCCATGACTGGGGGACAGACTTGTCTAATTCTGGGATTCGGTGCTGGACCATTTGCTCTCACACTAAGCTATGTCCTCCAGGAAGCCTTTATCAGTAGCAAAGGTGATGTTTTAGATTTGCCTGTCTTGCTCCTTGCTTGCTTCTCCATATACTACACCTATGTTGGAAAGAGAAGGACTGTTTATTGGCTTCTTTAGGCCAACATGAAACAAATATCACATTTAAGTGTTTGGAAAGGACAGTACTAGGCTTCTATTCTTCCAATATACTACCATGACTTGACAACAAAGGCTTATACTATTGTAGTAACTCATATTGGAAACAGTTTTTAAGTGGAAATTACTCTTGACATATGTATAGCACATTTTATTCCTTCACATTTGATGTCTTATTTAGTTAGAGTACAGGAAATTAAAGGCTTCTTTCCAGGGTGAAATGAAGACATTTCTAAAAATTTAAGACATGTTGGCAATTAGTTTTTAAAATAGTATGACCATGGTTACTAAAATACAAATAAGTATTTACATATGTTATATATAGGTATACATATTTCTTTTGTATTACCATTGGCTTTAAGTTTTCCAAAACTTAGTCTTTAATAAGTGAGGACATATTATTATATTTTAAATAAAAGGAAAAAGGAGAGACTTACAAGAGGAAAATCAGTGACATAGGCATCGCACATTATTATATCAGGTGGTTTGTGCACTATACTTGTATAGATTATCATAACGTTGGAAAACTCAGCTGCAAATCCTAATTGAATCTTGACACCACATTGAAATTTAAGACACATACTTTCTGGAAGTTCTGAAAAAGAACAATAAGAACAGTTTATAAATAATTATTTAAAGAGTGTTTGGTAAGTTTTCTGATGATAAGCAGCAAGCAAATATTGTTTCTGGGGCAAAATACAGTTAGAGCTTTTCCTTTTGCTTAAAAATGTTACATAACTAACACCGTTTAAAGACTCACAAACAGAATTGAAAAAAGAGGGGGAAAAAGTCCAATATTCAGCTGGTCAAGCAAATAAAAATCTTTCATTTTTACGGATCGTGCCCCTACACATGTATAATTTTTACAGTGCTGATCAAAAGTCTACATGTAATTGTAGATCTATTTTTCCTGTTGCTGCAATCTTCATAAAAAGTTTTAATAAAGTATAATATTACTCGAAGGTTTGTTACCTTAACAATTTTTCTAGTGTTGAATATAATATGTCTGGGTTTATTTTTCTATCATAGTCAATAGTTCTTACATCCACTCAACGCTTTAGGATTGTTAGATATAGCTATTTGATGGTTCCTCACAATTCCAACAGTTTTCCACTTATATAGACTATAAACATACTGGTTTCACCATAACATTTCCACAAAGTAATATTAATTTTCAAAAAGTCTGCCTTTGATGGGATTAAAAAAGAAATATACTATCATAGTTCATAGTTTATAGTTACTATTTTCGTTCGCCATTTTCTATATTTGTTTCTGAATTATTAATATATTCTCAACTGTGTGTATTGTTGAAATTGTAGCCTTTGATTATTAACAGAGAGGAGTCTTAATGTTTTGTTTTATTATTTTGCATGAATTCTTTATTATAAAAATTATCTACTTATCAAATTTGGCACAAATACTTTCTATCTGGCCTTTTATTTATTTTTTTAGGCGAGGCGACTCTTGGTTGACCTCACAGATTGCAATAACCTTGTCAGCTTACAATCCCTTATTTTTTATGCCTGCAGCACGTAGTCTGCCTAGGTGGTCTCCCATCCAAGTACTAACCAGGCCTGACCCTGCTTAGCTTCAGATCAGACGGGACTGGGCTTGTTCAGGGTGGCGTGGCCGTAGACTCTATCTGGCCTTTCAGTTTCATTTTGTAAAAGGTTTTATTTACTGTTGGTCTTCAGCACTGTAATTTTATTATTGTTGTTTACAGCTTTTTTAAAGGAAAAGAATCAATTTCAATTACATATTCAATTATCTGGAATGTGAAGATAATATATTTATGGCATTTTATATTTTAATGTGGTTTGATATGTTAATTTACCAAAAACATATCTTTTCGTATTATGAAAAGAAAGATCTTATGTAGGAGCTCCACAAACACAATGACCTTCAGTCATCTATAAGGGGTTCACAGCAGAGATATCTGGGACTCTGAGAAAACCCAAAATCTTTATTTCAGTCAATAATTTCAACTTACTTTTTCACTAAATCACATAGACTTACCAAAGGTAATTAAGTTACAGACACGAATTCCACCTCACTTTTTTAGAATCACCAACCCACTGATTCATGTGTCCAAGACAGAATGCTCAGTAATATTTATGAGCTTTTTTCTTTCCCTTGTGATCTCATTCAGTATCAACAACCCTATCAAGTACGTACTATTATATCTCCCCATTTTACAGATAACATGCTTATTAAGTGGTAGAGGCAGGATGAGAACACAGGTCTGATTTTTGAAACAGAACACCTGAACAGCTCACGCTGCAGGAGAATCTAAAGGACAAACTGAAAATCATTTTTAAAATGATCATATTTTTAATTTTACCAAAGTGAAAAGAATGAGTTAAATAATTTAATATTTCCAACATCAAATAAATCAGTGTAACATTTATAATTGAAACATTTGTTTAGTCTTGGTTTTGCCCACGAGGCTAAAATATTTTCACTGCAAAATTGAGAGGAAAATTATATATTCAGGAGGAAGAAAAATCTGTCATATTGAAGAAAAACCTCACAAAAAACTACTTCACTGTACCGTGCGCCTTGGCCCACTGGAGATTCCGCACCAGAGACTCTGCAGAGTACGCCGTCCCTTGTATGGGATCAGTAAGTGCTCTCTTCTCAGATAAGCTACTTCGAATCTCCAGAGCCTGTTTGCCTTTGGTAAGATGACATTTGCCCATATCTAAAAGATAAGAAGTAAATACTATTTTTAAGACTGGAATTCTTTCATTATGTTTTAAATATTTTGGCCAAGAGCTGCCCTCCAAATCAGGTTAGAGTCTCAATATCACTTAATTCACTCAACAAATATTTACTAAGCACCTACTTACTATGTGCCAGACACGGTTCAAAGTGCTAGGGACATGGCAGTGAGCAAATAGATGAAAGTACTGAACCAGCTCACTTCCAAAGCCCGTTTCTCGCTTTTATTTTCTATAATTCTAATAATGAATCGTTAATATTCTAAGCCTTGAAATTCTCAAAGAGCTGAAAATGTATTTCTTCATTGGTAATATGTCTATGCTCTGTTGAGAAACACATCCAAATATGAACATATGACTACATATCTATGGGAAAGGTAAATTATACTGTCTTTACCATAGATTTCTTCAGTTTTAGAAAAGGAAATTGTGTTAAAACCACCAGTATGGTTAAAGCATCACCACTGCCCTCCCCGACTCAAAGTAAACCATTATCCAGTGTGCTGTGTACATTCCCAGGCTCATTTTAATTTTTAATCACCTGTAGATACTGATAAATAGTATGGCCAAAGTTTTAGGTTTTGAACTTAACACAAATGTTATGCTATATATATGTTTGGTATATATCATATAAAGGTGAACTGGTGCTTTTTATTAAATTTTAAAATAGTTAAATTGTATTTTAAAATAAGAAACGTAAAACATTTTAGAGTCTCTGAAGCACTTTCATAGACTTCAGTTTGAAAATAACTGACATAGTCCAAAGGTTTTTTTTCTTTTAAGCAGCAGAAACTTTTCTTTAAACAAGAGCTTAAACAGCAGTCCCATGTGTAAAACAGATAAAAGCAGAACCTCTCTGGTTGAAGGCGGTCCAAGCCCCAGTTGTCTGTGAAATGGGAAAGTGGTTCAGTGACCCAGCTGAACAATCTATACTGATAAGACCAGGAAAACAAACAAATGGACTAACAGCTGTTCGTGAAATACTCAGGTGCCTCACACTCAAACTGCCATCTTTGGAACAGCCACAAAACTCCATTTTCTGGTGAGTTAATTTGCAAAAGAATTTCCTTCTTTTTGGTGTAGCTTATAAAAATGTATTTCAAAAAATGCATGTCGATCTAATGTAATACGTACTTATTCAGTACCTGCCACCAGCACGCATCACACCAGGCAGACCAGGGAACGGAAGACATAGTGCTAAACCTGCAGGCTCATGTCCTTAAAGCAAAAATTTAAAACCACTAAGTTCAGGAGCCACTACGGAAAACAGTATGAAGGTTCCTCAAAAAATTAAAAATAGAACCTTATGACCCAGCAATTCCACTTCTGGGTATTTACCCAAAGAAATCTAAAACGCTAATTCAAAGTGATATATGCACCCCTACGTTCAGTGCAGTGTTACTTACAATAGCCAAGATATGGAAGCAACCTAAGTGCCCATCAACAGAAGACTGGATAAAGATGTGGTACAGATATACAATGGAATATTACTCAGCCATAAAAGAATGAAATCTTACCATTTGTGGTGACACGGATGGACCTAGAGGGTGTTATGCTAAGTGAAAAAGTCAGAGAAAGACAAACACCACACAGTCTTACCTATAAGTGGAATCTAAAGAACCAAATAAACAAACAAAACAGAAAACAGACTCACAGATACAGAGAATAAACTGATGGTTGCCAGAAGGGAGGAGGGTTGCAGGGCTGGGTGAAGACGATGAAGGGATTAAGAGGTACAAATTGGTAGTTACAAAACAGTCATGGGGATGTGAAGTACAGAACAGAGAAAATAGTCAATAACATTGTAATAACTATGTATAGTGCCAGGTGGGTACTAAACTAATTGGGGGGATCGTTTCCTGGGTTGTATGGATGTGTGACCAGTGTTCTGTGCACCTGAAACTAATATAAAATAATGCTGGATGTCAAACGTAATTGAAAAAATAAAATAAACTCTCACAGTCCAATAAAAGAATGGAAAAAAAAAAAAACCCACTCGGCATAGGAAGAAGGTAAAGAGCTCTGAGGATTAAATTTCATTTATTTCACATCATGTCTGGAGTCAGCCTTGTAAATTCAAGTAATGCTGCACAGATGGCATGCAGCTAAGTCAAGAGAGAAGGAATTAAATAGGAGTGTTGCTGAACATTATGTAAAAATATTGTTTTATAAAATAAATACTAATTCCAAACCTGTACAGTAACAGTAGGAATAAAATAATTACCAGAGAACCCGAGTAGCTTTCTCTTTATTTTTTATTTTACCTTCTGCAACTTCATCCAGTAACACAGTAATTTTCTTGTCTTCTAATAATCTATCTTTTAAAAATTTCATGAAGATTCCATTTGCCAGTCCAGAATGCTGGATTTCAAAAGCTTCTGCTCCTTGACACCTTAACAGCAGCAAAAAGAAAGAGTTGTAAAAGAGCAAACGCTTGCCACGCGGGGCTTCCACGAATACGGACGAGCCTCGTTTGCGTCCAGCCTCTCGCGAGACATCCTAGAGAGTTAATCCTGACGCACTGGTGCTTATTGAAAAGAGATGCCAAGATAAGAAGTGCTATAGTCAATGATGTAAAGTTTGCTCTCAAGAATACCACGGAGGCAAATTTATGACATGTCTATGGATACGTCTAGGCTTCCGATCTACAAAACAATTAACAGAGGATAAAGGAATCTTGAACATAAACTTTTCTTACGTGGCATATCCGAACACGATGTTGGCGGTGACTTTCAGAGCGTCCAAGATTGGAATGGTGTCATCGTAGTCATTTCTATTTAAAAAGTAGGAGAGGAAGAAGGACAGAAGTAAATACGAAAAGTTAAACGGCATTTTTAAAAGAGCATCAATATAATACAGTAAAAAATATCATATAACAGTACTATATACAACTTAAAATTACAGATTCAAAATTCTTTTATCAAATAAGCTACATATTTACCCAAAATAAACCGGGGCGCCTACACTGTTGCGACAGCAGACAGTCACGTCTTTTCTCGTTAGCTTTAAAACTGGAGTTACATGAACTCTGGCGATGGATTTTGGTTGGTAAATGCTGAGCAAGTGAAAAATTGTAAATCTGAGAGGACTACTCATTAGTTCCATTCTTTGGCAGCACAGTGGCAGCCCAAAGGGTCATGGTCCGGCTAAACTTTCACTATCTACAAGGCCAGGACCGATTTGCATGGCCGGAGGCCCCAATACCATGGGCGCCATTTCTGTGACTTTCTGGAGGAAAACCGCAGTGATTATTAGAGACAACTACAGGTATTCTGAAGAGCTGTATCTTTTGCAGTATGAGTAAATGCCCAGGCCCTTTATAGTTCTTTACTTCTGTTCTACAGCAAATAGGAAAAAGAGTTAAAATAATTAAATCCACATAGAGAAAATGTATTTTCCCCTAGTGTTCTGCTTAATCAGCTTTATCTATAATCTAAAATCACAAACTTAAGTGGTTCTTAACATTCACAGGTTTGCCTCAGATTTAATTTGCCAAGGTTGATATTTAACTAACTCCGAGTTTCATTTAACAAAAATTAGTTTACCTTTTCCTACACATATCCAACAAGAACACATTGAGTCCAGTTTCTTTTTCTTGCATCAATTTCAGTATATTTTGTACACACAGACAATTTTCAGACCTATATGGATTTGGAGCATCAACAGGGACCATAAAGCTGTTCCCAAAGTTTTCATAACCATGTCCTGCGTAATATAATAATCCTGAAAAGGAAAAAAAGGGGCAAAATTTAACTCTACATTGAATTCTGAACATGTATGTAGCACTTTTTAAAAAAAATCATGCTTTCTTACTTTCTTCAAGTTAATGAAAGCTTATTTAAGAGATACCCAGTCTATGGCCATGCTACCCTGAACAACTCCGATCCCGTCTGATTTCAAAAGCTAAGCAGGGTCAGGCCTGGTTAGTACTTGGATGGGAGACCACCTAGGAAGACCAGGTGCTATAGGCGTCAAAAATAAAAAATAAGGAACTGTAAGCTGACAAGGTCCTTGCAATCTGTGAGGTCAACCAAGGGTTGCCTCGCCTAAAGAAATAAAAAATAAAATAAATTAATTAAATACAATGTTAACTAAATTTGCATTAAAAATTATTTCGGCAACAGTCTTCATTTCATTATTGCATTTTAAATCAACATCAAGATGTCCTAAAGTATATTTTAATTCATAGAACTAATACACTTGTAAACAATGGTATAACATGGAATGCAATTTTATCTCATGATGTACATAAAAAGAATAACGCTAAGGACTTCTTTGCTAACTCGTCTGTCTCCTTCATGAGATCAGCAGCTCCTTCAGGGTGAGTGCGTCTTACACTTTTCTGTGTATTCCTGGCACACAGCAGGAACTTAGTAAGTATTTAATGGATGAACAAATGAACACAGGTTATACAGCAACTGCAATATCAACTGTAAGAAATTCCACAGGCATTCCCACACAATATTAGTAAGGGATAGAATCACATAACTGGCTTTTTCTAAGCAAACAAGGGAAATCTGATTTCATGAATTGTTATTTCTTTTTGTTATGAGATTTAAATATCAGTAATTTTCCATCTACAGTCTCTTGAATTAGTAATCTAAAATTTGGGTTAATTTTAGGATTCAATAGATGAGCCATTATTTCTTTACTGAGAAACGATACTATAAAACCTGCACCAAACAACCCTAAAGACTTTCCTGAAAAGAAGTCTGTTTTAGCTGTTAAAAAAACCCAACAAAAATATCAGTATGGGCTTCCTTACAATATTTGATAGAAATACTTGTGAAGACGTATCTCCTAAGCATGCAGTCTCTACAGCCCACTAATTTGGTTCTCTTAGAATTCTGGATATAAGACTTCTTTATATGATACTCTAAAGTTAATAGCAAAACGGGATTTAGATAGGGAAAAACAATAAAAATGCTAATCCTTGGTAGTTATAGCCCCAACTCTTGGCAGAGAATGTGGCTTTGAAAACACACACGTGCACACACACACACACACACGCTTCATTTAGTCCCAAAGGGAGCAGGATCCAGGCCTTCAATTTTCTGAAAATCCTATTAAAATGAGAAAAGTGGTTCTTTCCTACGCAACGTTTCAGGTACAAAATGACAAAATGGACACCCCCATTTATTCAGCGTGTTTATTTCACATCTCATGTGTGCCCTGAATATAATCGTGTAGGCACCGAAGGAAATGAAACAGTAAAGGAAGACAAGTTCCTGGCCCCGAGGATGCTGCAGCACGGTCAGGCTCGCTCGCGCAGTCGAGCAACCAAGAAAGCCGGTGTGTAATTGAATACCCTACATTGTGTGGTTACGGCAACGCCGTATGATCCGAATGAAGTGCAAAGAGGAATGTCAGCGTCAGGCGAAGCAGTAACGGATGGTCTTGGGAGAACGGGCACAACGTGGAAAGGCAGAGAGAGCGCACAAGGCACGTGACAGGAAGTGAGAACAGAAGCAAACAAGGCTTGGACCTGGAATGACAGCTAACAGAAAGGAGACTAGTCTGGCAAGGAATTAAAAGGAAAAAGTAAGAGCGTACAGATAGGGGGCATGTTGAAAATCATGACAAAGGGAGTGTAAGATTTAATTCATTAAGCAGTGAAGATCAAGTAAGTGAAAAGACAACCTATGGAAAGCGAAAAAATATTTACAAATCACATATCTATACAGGCAATTTGTATCCAGGATATATAAAGAACTCTTTATTTTCAACAATAAAAAGACAAATACCCAAGTACAAAGTGGGCAAAGATTTAAATAAACATTTCTCCAAAGAGGATATGCGAATGGCAAATAAGTACATGAAAAGATGCCCAACATCATTAGCCATGGAGGAAATGCAAAACAAAACAATGAGATGCCATTCTGCACTTACTGGATGGCTAATAATCAAAAAGAAGGGTGAGAGGTCTACGGCTGTGCCACCCTGAACACGCCCAATCCCGTCTGATCTCGGAAGCTAAGCAGGGTCGGGCCTGGTTACTACTTGGATGGGAGACCACCTAGGAAGACCAGGTGCTGTAGACGTAAAAAATAAAAAATAAGGGATTGTAAGTTGACAAGGTCCTCGAAATTTGTGAGGTCAACCAAGGGTTGCTTTGCCTAAAAAATATTAAAAAAGAAGGGTGACAACAAGTGCTGGCAAGGCTGCAGAAAAACGGGAAAACTCACTTATTTCTGGAGAGAATATACACCAGTGCAGGTACTTTGGAAAGAGTTAGGCGGTTCCTCAGAAAGTCAAATTTAGAATTATCATATGACCCAGCAATTCCACCCCAAGGTGTATATATATATACCCAAGAGAATCGAAAACACAGCCCACACAAGAATGTGTACAGAAAGGTTCATGGCAGCATTACTCATAAAATCCCAAAAGCGGAAACAACCTAAATGTCCATCTGCTAATGAATGGATAAACAAAATGTGGTATATCCACATAATGGAAGATTATCCAGCCGTAAAAACAATGCTATAACATGGATGAACCTTGAAAACGTTATGCTAAGTGAAAGAAGCCAGACGCAGAAGGCCGGATATGGAACGATTCCATTGTCTATGAAACGTCTCAGACAAATCCAATGAGTCGGAAAGCAGGTTTATTGAGGAGGGATGGGGACTGACTGCTAGTGGATACGGGTTTCTTTCTGGGATGATAAACATGTTCTGGAATGACGTGACTGATGCACAACTTTGTGAATATGGTGAAAACCACTGAATTACTCTGAAAGAGTCAAACTTACACTCCTCTATCAAGTATTCAAAATATGACTCTACTTCCTATCAGTCTCTTTACTGTTTCTAGAACAAGATTTGCTTGTTTTTAATATCCATGACCCTGCTCCAGTTCCTGCACCCATTTTCTATCTACCCAGACCTTAAGCGGTCCTCAAAGTCATCTCAAGTTCAGACCCTTTGCAAGTCATCCCTTGGTTTCTAGCTTCATAACACACGTCAATCTCTCCCCACTTTAAAATCCTACAGCAGCACTCCTCGACAATCATATACTGGCTTTTCTTGACATTTTACAGTTCTCTATATATTTAATTTCTCTGATAAAAGATGATCATAATAAAGACATTAGTTTTATACACTGGTAGAGTATTTTCATGGTTTTTAAAGCACTTTCATACACATGATCTGATCTTAATCCATATAACAATCTTTAAATGATTTCTACCTCTATTTTATAGACTAGAAAATTAAATTTAAAAAGACTAAATAATTTGCTTAAAATCATAGCTGAGAGGTGTTTGGACTCCATATATAGTCTACAGCCAACCCACCCAGAATGCGCCTGATCTTGTCTGATCTCGGAAGCTAAGCAGGGTCGGACCTGGTTACTACTTGGATGGGAAACCACCTAGGAAGACCAGGTGCTGTAGGCATTGAAAAAAAACAACAAAAAAAACTACTGGACTCCATATATAGCCCTTTTTCCTTCTTATATTAAGAGACTTATAATTTGAGAGTACAGATCATGTTCTTTATTTTCTGGATCACCTTCGACACCTAGCGTACTTCTGATCTGGGCTATCGATATAACAGTAGCTCAGTACAAATCTTTTGGACACATTAAATTAACAGTGCAAAGTAGTCAGGACAGAGGTGGGTTTAGAGACCTTTCTATAAAGAGTCTGATTTTCAGTTAAAATGCTAACATTTCCACAACTGATATTACTGAGAGAGAGCCAAGCAGACAGCTTGGGCATTGCCCCCATGATATCATTTCACAGGTCAGACTCTAGCAAGACTTGACTGAGAGAAACAACTTCCAGGGAAAGGTCAGCTTCCACTATCCAGGGAAGGCTACGTGTGGTCCATTATTTCAATGCCATGTGTGCAGCTCTGCAATCATTGACATTAAGGCACTTAAAACCTTTTCTCCGCCCCAAAATGATTTAGGAAAAGTATAAGCATTTTATATCGAAGTCTACCTCCAAATAACATTGCAGGAGATCAAGCATTTTTATGTAAAATAAATCAGACCAAATCACTGTATTTTAAAAATTCCATTTCTAGTACTGCTATTAATTTAATTAACTATCACATTATTCAAGGACAGGACAAAATAGATAACTTTATAAATGACAAAGGATTTAGTGTGGTTAAAAATATAATGCTATAAAAGTTAAATTTTCCTGCGTGAGTTGCACAGCGTTCCGATGAGAGCATCCACCCCCGTCAGTCCACTCACAGCGCGGTTACCGCAGGCCGGGCACTGCACAAAGCAAGTGCTCTACTTACACGTTCCGTCATATAATCCTCATAGCGCGCATCTCGTAACAAAGGAGGCGATATTATCACCCCCTTTTACAGATGTAAAAACTGAGATGCCGAGAGGTTTAATAGCTCATCCAAATCCGCATAACTAGGAGCTGATGGCACCAGCATGCGTACGCTGGCCCAGTTAACCACCGTGCTGTGTTACTCTGATTCCGTACAATCTCCTGCGGGAGTCCTAGTTAACTTCACTTTCAAAAATATAAAATATCAGTGCACTGGTTTCTCTTGACTTCACTACGCTATCACTTAAAAAACCGTTTTTTTTTCACATGAAATCGTAGGCTAAACCTTAATATATAAAAACACACGAAAGCTGGGTTTTGCTGATGCCTGAAGCGAAATGCTACCTAGTTCAAATCTCCAACTAAAGATGAAAGAAAACCTGAATTCAGGAAATTACAATAATTACAGTCACGATATTTTGAGTACTTTCAGTGTGCCAGGCAGAAATAATTATTTTATCATATTTATCCTGTAACTACCTCAGTAAGTTAGCCTATCCATTTTAGAAATCCTTTTTGGCTTAGAAAAGCAAAATAACTCACTTGCAGTCACATAGCTGGTATGCAGAAAAGCCAGAGCGCTGACCCCAGGCCAGCTCGCCCTCGGGCCACTGCTGACCCTCTGGGAAACGGAACTGAATGACTCCTCTACGTAAGGTTTCAGCCAGGTTCTGAGCAGCAAGTGATGAATGCAGAAAGGCATTGGGTGGAGTAGATATTAGGCCAGTTACCCTCTACTGTAGCTATCTATGTAAGATAACAGGAAATCTTTATTCTTATTTATCTTCAAGGACTGTAGTATAAGTCAGTTATTTCTATCGTTAGAGTGTGTTTTTTATGTTTACAGATGCTTAAAAGTGAATTACTGATTTTCTGTTCTGTTGCAATTTTTGCTTCTTTTACAAATCCATGGGCAAGATGATATAAAAGAGCATAAACTTGAGTGCCTATGATTTCCATATCTGAATTGTTCATGCGGACTCTGCCTCCACCTCCCCCTCCCGCCAAAGAGCTAGTCTCTGGGGCTGTTAGCTGGAGGTAAAGGCACAGTCCAGGAGAGATGCCCTACACCCTCCGGCCTCTACCACACTTACATTTAATGTAGATGTGTCTGATGTTTGGGATATTCACAATACTTCAAAATATAATGCAGCCATCCTGTTAAGACATGAATCAGGAGGATTTTAAAAACTTTCTAGCTTTCTTAAGCTGCCATTTTGCTTTAATGCGCCTCTTTATTCCGTACTGCAAGATGGTATTTTTATATTGGGGCAAAGCTTCGGCATAAGCCGAACTCTTTTCACCACCACTTTTAAATATTTCTGGTTCTCCACTTTGCAGGGGCAATGAAAAGTTTTGATTTAACAAGCCAAGAACTTAAAGCCAAGGTGACAATGTCAAAGAAATGAGAACAAATAATCAAGTACCTAGTTCTTCATATAATTCCCTCACTCTTAAAATACCTCACCCCTTCAAAAACCTAAATTGGTTAATATTTTTTCCTTTTACTTCATTATTTTCAGTGAAGTTTTAAAAGCCTTTTCCAACTTAAGCCATCTAGGCACTTTTAAAAGATTATATTGCTATAACGTCAGCATAATAGTTAAAATCCCAAATTTGAGGTATTTACTTTGTTGATAAATTTGTGTTAAAACTGTTATGCTTATTATTTAAGAAAAAGTCCATTTAAATAAGATTTTAAGATTTCCCCCGTCCCATATACAGTGATGTGATAAATCTTGAAAAATAATTTTTCTTCCATTAAAAATTCTCCTTTGAGACCCATTAAGAATTCCACCAAACTTGCCTCATATCAATCTACTTATAAGGCTAAATTTAGAAACTGAAGCAAAATAATGTGAAAGATATAGAAGCCAAATTGATGCTTTTTGTTTATTACCGGCATGCCTAACAACAGGCCTGAAAATGTCACTTTCCTGGAAGTCAACTGTTATTGTGCAGTATCATGGCAGGCACAACTCCTGTGAAATACGCCTTGAATGAGCTCAACATTGGTGCTCCCATATTTGTGGCTATCCCCAGTAAAAAAAAAAAAATTGCCAAAGAAATCACTTTCTACTGACAGCATATTCTCTCTCTTTAGAAAATCTTTACCATACATGCAGTGTTAACTAATTTAAATGAAAAGATGTGAAAAATCATTAAAAGTTTACTGTTACAATTCTTGTGGATGTCCATCTTTAACTACAGGTGTATAAAACTTTAGTTTCCAAATTGCTTTCATATGCCTCATTTACCAGCATTTCCTCATTAAATTCTAGTCCCCACTAAAAGACCAGAAAATGCCATGGAATAGTCAGAAAGAAGAAACAAACTTAGAATGTACATTGGGTTACAATCTTTTATACTCTAAACACACACACACACACACACACACACACACACAGTAGTACTTTACATATATGAGTATACGATTTGACATCTGGTCATCAAACTTTATTGTACTATAGTTCTTGTCATCAATAAAAAATCACCTAAGAATTCTAATTGGTAAGAATTCTAATATAAACAATACTGTTTTGACAAAACAAGAGACATGAAAGTAAAGACATTAACAAATTATTCATATGGAACTACAGAGCTGAAGATTACATTTATCTTTTTTACAGGAATAAACTCAATTCGACAATGTGTTTACTGCGCTTTTCTGATCTTTAATTCTTAACCTAACTTGTACAAAGAAAAAAAGTAGTGAATAATTATAAAAACAAAGATGATAAATATCTTACCATATACTCCTTTGTCTAAAAGTAGTAAAAATTCATCCACAGCGTTACGCATCTCATACTCAGTCAGATCCAACAGGGAAACGACTTTGAAATCCAGCTGTCTTAACAAGTTGGTCAATTCGTACACATCCACCAAAGGAGCTTTAAGCTTGGGGTGCTCCCAGTAATTCATATTTCCTATCAAAAGAGCAACCTTGTCTTTCGCTGTTAAAAAAAAAAGAGGGGGAAGAGAGATTTCGAGGATATAAAGATTGAACCAAAACCTATGGAAATAGTATCATATAATAAAAAATATGCCTTATCAATAAGATGTCATCATTATTTAATAGGATGTTTATTAGCTGTATATGAAGCTTAATGGTAACTAATATTAAAGTATACTTTTACTGAATTACAACATAAGTAAGGAATATAATATTCAACCAGACTTTTACAGCACATTTAAATAAGAAATGTTTGAAATTGGGTTCCCAACAAATCAGGTTCTGTTTTGCTGACAATTGAGAGGCTAACAAAAGAAATACCAAAAAGAGGAACAGGAAGGCTTCGCACCAGAGCAAGTAAGGGGAAATACCAAAGGGCGAGAAGAGTAGCAACTTAAGTAGTGACTCTGTATTTTTTCAGTTGATCTACTGTCTTCTCCTAGCTTCTTTAAAAAACATTTTCCATTTAGGCAAGATGCGGCTACTTTAGGGATATGTGAAGACTTTTGTATGAATATCGTTAACAGTTTATTTTCTGACCTTCATGCACTGAGATTCTGTTCAAAGATGTGTTCTCACACAAAAAAATGTTTCTGTTCTTAAGGGGCAAAAAGATCCACATCTATGCCTTAAAAAGTACCAGCGGGCCTGTGAATCAGGTGTGCAACTCGTCCAAAACCAGCCGTGGAGGGCTGAGGCAGCTTAGAGCGGACTAGAACCGAACCGTTCTAGTCTGGGTGGGTTGGAAATTAAAGCCTCGAGACCACACATGACTGTAGCAGGCTCTTATGATGTTTTTCTTGAGGATGTCACAGAATGAATCCGTGAAGGGGACACCACAGAGATTGGAGATGGTGTAATGAGCATAGGGCAGTACCAGCCAACTGGCTGAAGAGCCACACTGTGTAGGATTGCAGGCCACCGCCTTGACACAGGCCAGGACTAGGTGACTAACCTCTGTCACAAAGTTCTGCTACGTAGTTTATTTATAAATTATTATGAATATTGCTCTTACGAAATCATAACAGGCACAAACAGTCACACTGCTGACTTGATGTCTGCAATAGTTAATAGAATTTCAGATGTTTCAAATCATTGATTAAATTTCACCAAAAAAAAATCTTTGGCGAAATTTCTTCTCTTCCCACAGAATACTTAAGTCTAGTGTTAAATGAGGTCTGGAGGAAAACTAGTATCACCTCAAGGAATGTTACTATTTCAAGTGGCAGAAAACCTTCAATATTTTCACGTCATGGCATCTTTATTCTATATTTACATTTCCAGATGTTTCTTGCAAATTGCCTACTCCTATGAGTACGTGCATTTTAGAAAAAATAGAACGGTACTTAAGCCACATTTCTAATTCAATGAAAGTCACTTCGAGTCCTATACAAATGATAATCTCTTCTTTTACCCAAAAGAAAGGCCAATTATTAAGACTACTTAATATATAAGGATTCAGACATAAAGCTTCAATTAAACTGAACTCAGTGAAAAAGTTGAGATGGATTTCAATAGGAGGCAGCATAAAACTTAACATCACTGTATTTCCTTTTTTTTTTAAGTTTCTTCTTACTTAGAAGAACTAGATATGCACTCTTATACCAAAGTACTCATTATATAGTAAGACTATCAGCTGGCTAATCCATAGAAAGAAAAATTTCAGTGCATTTTCCTGCGAGCCCACCAACCCTATCAAAAATTCAGACCCAGCTTCAATGCAGTGAAGGAGTCAGTTCAATCTGCTTCTAAGTGAGGGGATGTGTGGTCTCTGGCTTACATCATTATGGCCCAAATCATGGGTTCCCAAAGTTACTCAGGTGTTAGTAAATCATAGTGGGTTTTGGTAGAATACTATGATAATTTAATGTTAGTATATATCCTAAACTAAGTTTTATTAGCAGAAAACAATGATAAAGTATGTAAAAGAAAAAAAACCACTGGGGTCTTTGGGGGAAAAACACCCAGTTTTCAAACTAAACAACACAAGCTGTTTCTGCTGATATCAATTCTTTATTCATTGGTTTTGTTATGTTTGGAAAGATACTCGGTTGACAGAATGTAAGGGTTCCACAATTTGAGAACTATGTGCCTTAAAATGTATGTATCGATAATTGATCATAATTCTTCAAAAAATTTTCCCTAATGATAATTTTTAATAGCTACTTTCTAAAATGTTTTAAAGCATTTTCTTGAATTTAGTGGTAATAAAGATGATGAGTAAATAAATCTTACCTTGCCCAATCTACATGTAAGACAGTTCCTGAATGGTAGGCGAACTGAGGAGGATTTGTAATAAAGAAGCAGATTGCAGTGGTCGAAATAAGAGATGACAAAGACTCATTCCAGGAAGTTATTTGAAGAAAGGGAAAGGAAAAGTCAGAGTTTAGAGATATGATAGAGAAAGAAACAGTAACATTTGAAGTTGAGGAGATAAGAGTGAGGAATCAAAGCAAACTTCAAAATAGCAAGGATACAAGCAATTTGTGATAGTTTTCAAGTGATACAATAAACGGAAGAAATTTTCTGTAGAAAAACATTTACTGTAAGAGCCACCCACAATTTCTTGAACATTTACTGGAAAAAGGAAACACAAATGCAAGTTGATTAAGAAATAGAATAAAATCACTTCAGAAAGATATTTTGACTACATGATCTTAGACATTTTCCAAAGTTCAACGCACTGTATTCTTTAAACATTGATACAGTGCTATATCGTTAATTCCAAATCTAATTATCTAACGGTGTGTTACTCATCATATCTCATCTAAAATGAATCAATATTCATAAGCACCTGGAAAAGGTCCTGGCACATATTTAGTGCTATGTAAGTATTTGTCACATAAAATCTCCGGCTATCTATCAAAAATTGAGTATTAGCATCAAATCTGACTGGTTGAACATACGGTCCTTGTTAATCTTATGCATAAAAATTCTGAATCTTTATGTGCTCAGAAATAAGGTCCAAATTCCTTAATCTGGCAAAGTCATTCATATTGGAGTCCATGCCTACCTTTCCAGCTGCAGCAAGAGACAGCCTCCTAACGAACCACGGTATCCTTGCCCGCTCGGAGTGTAGTCACCCTTACCCCAGCCCCCAGCCCAACCCCCAAATCGGGGCTGCCCCGCGATTCTCTCTGAACAACATAACGTGGCATGACGCTTTGCCAGTTCTGAGCCTAAACCTTAGGAAGCCTGACAGCTTCCAGTTTGGGGATCCAGCCGCCACGTAAAGAAACTTAGTTATACAGCAAGACACGTAGGGAAGGAGGGGAGGAGAGAGAAAGGGAGAGAGTGAAGCAGACCCAATGTTCACAACAGGAAAACAGGTGAGCGCGTGCCCCCTTCGAAGGGGCAGCCACTGTTTAGCCACAACTGACAGCTGCCGCTTTGCAAAAAGAACCTAGAAATCTGAACTTTTATATGATACCTAATTAGTGTCAACTGATTATAATTGTTAAAAAACACTCTATGGACCACTCCCATCCCATGTACACACACACAAAAAGGCTAGCCCGTTTGATGCCCTTGTCTCTAAGGATTATAGCAATCTCATGTTTGCTGCCCCTGGTTTTAACTTCACGTCTATTCTGATGACATTCATAACCGTATCGCTAATCCTGGCCATTCCTTGGAGTTCCAGATCCAAGTACACAATTGCCTGCTGTACATCTTCACCCTGATGTGACACAAATGCCTCAGACTGGTTAGGTCCCAAACTGACAGTCCTCTATCCTCCGAAGCTTGCCTGTGACTCTGTATTCTCCAGCTCAGTGGGCTGTATTGCTAGCCACCCAGTGGGCCAAGCGAGAATCCCAGCAGGCATGGTGATTCCTCTCCACCTTTTATACCCTATAACAAGATGACACAAACAGCTTACGGAGTCCGTTGCCTAGCGATCCTCTGCATTTGCTCTTTTCTGCATTCTCCCTAATTTAGATTCTGGTTATTTGTTAACTAGACTATTCCGACAGTTTCTTAATTTTTCTTCTAACCAAAACATCTCCCTCCACTTTACTTTCTACACCAATACGAGACTGGCCTTTCGGAGCGTCAAATCTCATCCACTGGTCTACCCAACAGTTTCACTGCAATGGCTGCACGAGAAACGGGCCTCCTGAGGTCCTGGTTTCACCCTTCTCTCGCCCCCTTCTCTCTCTGCTCTAGAGCGCGGTGTGTTCCTTGTAGTTCCCCAAATTCAGCACCGGCTCACTTCTCTACCGTGCTGCACTTAGGGTTTCAGGTTCCCTCTGTCTGCAAGGCCCTTGTTCTACTCCTCCTTCAAAATGCAGAGCTGCCATTGCAATCTCTCTGCTGCTTTTCTCGGCTAAACCCATCAAGAGATAGCACCACTCCCTTCTATGGGACATCCACGCTTCTTTCTGCTTCCACGTTTATTTGTTTGCATGTTGCCAAAACAAAGAAGTCACTCCAGAGAAGCTGACTTGGTCCCAGCAACTGAATCCATCATCTTTTTAAGCCTCCTTAATTTCTTTTACAAATATCCAAAACAAACCATTTGGTCCCAATGTTATTCAAATATTTACAAAAGCTGTCAAATTAAAATGTCTTAAATCCCTTTGTGATCACCATAAAAGAGATATATACTATATTTTGATCAAGCATTTTAAAGCTCTACTCACCCAAAGCTTGGTCAGCTGTTTGCTCTTTATTATCTATAATAAAATAAAAATGCAAAAAATATAAGGTGTTAGGATTCATGATCCAAGTCTCTTCAGGGTTAGGGGTTTGTGGAAACAACGAACAATAACATCAGCGGCATTAACAGACAGACCATGGTTTCTAACAGCTAACGTGCGATTTTAAGACTTTCTAGATTCTTGATAAAAGCAAATACCTGGATGGATGAAGTTGAAACAGGAGCAGGGGAATGCCTTTGGTAGCTGACACAGCTGGGGGTAATAATCTTTAATATGCTAGGTAGGAATTACAATCTGAACACAGTGGGCGGTGGGTATAAGAGGTAGCAGCAGAGGAGTTAACATTTACTGAATGCCTGCCTGGTGCTGTGCGACAGGCTTTCAATATAACTGACTGAAACAGACCTCGCTTTACTCTGTGAGGCATATGTGACTATTACCTCCATTACACAGATAAGGAATCTGAGGCAGAGAGAGATTACGTCACTTGCTGAAAGTTACTGAGTGAGTAAACCTCATTCCATAGTACTGTACATAATATGAAATACTTCCTATCCCCAAGGACCATGCAGAAAGGGATGCAGGGAAAGACGGACTTTAATCAGTAATGTGTCTACTACTGTAGACAGGGCAGCTTTTCCTGCATTTTTAATAATTTATGTTTCTGGAGTCTATTAAAAGTATATTAAATTTTTTTTAAAAAACTCATTTCTTTTGGTTTCTCTGAATCCTGAAGAGTAAGGATATAATGAAAGAGGATGCCAAGAAAATTTCAGAAGCGTAGTGGTGGTTGTTTGCAAAAGTCTTCCTGAAATAACTTTTCGTGATGTTCATTAAAGGATAAGAAATAACAGACCAATTTAGGAAAAAAGGATTCTAAAAAGACCAAGAGAAACAACTAGCTACATTACTAGGTTGGCTCCCTGACACTCAGTCGGTTTGGTTGTTTGCTCACTGAGGCTTCCCCTGAGCTCCAGGTTGGTAGGGCGAGAAAGACACTCTCGTACACTGGCCTTCTGGTTTGTCTAATTTGCTTGCATGTAATTAGCACAGCCCAGTCATCGCTCATAATAATAGATGTTTATTAACAAAATATGGTGCTAAAATAATGAGATATAACATGTCCAGAAATAAGAGACATCTCTGTAAATGTTAAATGACGCACTGCCTTCTTCATCTAGCCCCAGAAGGTTTTATTTTCAGGCATAGTCACAGGTTCCATCAGAATGCCCCTAACCTACTACAGACATCCTCTGTCTTCAGAGTCCTCACTGTTCTCTGCCTGTCATCTCAGTTAAGGCTTTCCCTTTAGCTGAACTTGTTTAGAAATCTGTTCTGATTAAAATTGGACAAAGAGTGATGAATACTCCTGGCAACTGTCAGTCTCTTAATGGTCACTGACCAACTGCTTACGTGTACAGCGCCCACTATTCCAGGCAGCACCCCTTTTACTCTCCCCAACGCCCAGCTAGTTCATGATTGAGGAACTGTGAACAAGGTCTCAGAGGTCTGGCGAGTTCCGGAATGTTACTCCCGTCACTCTTTCAAAGACTGCTTCTTGTCTTCAAATTAAAGACCATACACTTCCCCTACGAACTGTTACAGCAAAAGAATATCTATAGTATCTTTAAGTTATTGGATTCGATAACTTAAAAATCTAAAATTAACAACATAATATGAAATACTTCCTATCCCCAAGGACCATTGGATTCGATAACTTAAAAATCTAAAATTAACGTTTTATGTTTGTATTACTCACCAGGATGCCCGAAATGATTTAATTCATCTGAAATGAAATAAAATAGATTAGCATTAAATAATCTAAATGCCAACTTAGCACAAATAGTAATACTAATCAAAGAAAGAGGTTTTGAGCTACTAAATCGTGTTGTATTGTTTTATCTACAGAAATTTCCAAATACGTTAAATGAGAAGCCATGCGAATATGAAATAGGAAGAATACTGTTGTGGATATCACTGAAGACTTCTAAGCTATTATTGTTTTCACTAAATGGCAAATTAAGTGCTCATAATTTGTTAAAAGTTTTAGATAGTCTGGCCAATTATAGGACAAAATAGTCAAGAGACAGGTCTGTCTGTGGCCTCAACTATAAACTTCTTGAAACTAATTAACAATCTCAAATGATCTTTTCTTTTTTAATAAACTTTTTATTTGAGAACATGTTAAGATTTATAGAACTTACGTGAAGGCAGTGCAGAGTTCCTGTATAGGCTCATACCTAGTTTCCCTATTTTTAGCATCTTGTGTTAGGAAGGGATGTCTGTCACAACCATTAATATTCGTTTTCGTTCAAAGACCCCATATTCAGGACAACACATTACATTTACTTGTGTGGCCTTAGGCTCTCCTGTGTTGTGACAGTTTCTCAGACTTCCCTTGCTTTTGATGACCTTGACAACTCTGAGGACTACTGGCGAGGCACTGGGTAGAAGGTCTCACTTGGGATTTGTTGATGTTTTCCTCATGGTTAGGCTGGTGTGGTGTGTTTTTGGGGGTATAGTGGTTTCAGAGTGGTTAACTTACACCCTCAGGCTAAAGGACTTCACCTAGGCAAATATCCGTGACATCAGAGCCATCTACTTTTCCTTTACAAACTTGATGAAGATAAAAATTAACATTAAGTAATACTTTTCATAAGATGTTAGGCAGAACTTATTCTTGTATGTGATATAAAGTCAACTGAAGAGTAGCATCAGCTAGAGTACAGCTGCATACAA